AAACATCCGTGTATGATGTACTTAATACAGCCTTAGTGATTTATCGAATCTCAATCGATAAGATACGGTATTACCGAATACCGTATTATAACGCTCATACTTAATACCTCTCTAAAGAGAAGTATAATAATGCATTATATGCAATAGAAAGGAGAGTTTAAGCGTAAACTCCCGGAAAGACGCTACAACCGTCGTGTAACCCCGTTACAGAATGCTTCTGGTAGACCACCGCATCCAAGGGCTATGTGTTGGTTTGAATACCAAGAGGATAACGGGAACCAGAATCGGTCAGGTGCTTCAAGCGTTGTAACACACGTAGCTCAAACATCAGTTTGTTACTACTTCAGCCCCTGATTCACGGAGATACGAACACAGCTTTGCCAATTGCTGGCAATTGTCCACGCTGCAACAAACTTTTTGAACGATTTGACGTCGACGTTATACAAGCACATGGAGGGCGCCTTTGGCAGGATAGAAGCGATCATTGTCTGTGTTAGTACTTGTAGCCCCAAACGACCACTTTTGATTCACTGCAGTGACTCCACCGGGCCCAGGCCCATTCGACACGGCTGTAGAACGTAAAAGTCGTTGCCGCTTAAAAGCCAAATAGGGATCGTGTAAGGCATCCGTGTGTAGGTGCGTTGCATAAAAGACTTGCTAAAGATTCACAAAGCGTTGCAAACCGCCAGAAGACTTACGTTGCAAGGCACTACCTGTACTAACCCTTAGCTGTGTTTTTATGAGATCCGCAATGTCGAGCCAAAAGCTTGGCGCTCGCTGAAAGCTACGCGATCGATCTCATGTGGGACATGGTGTGTCGATTTGTGCCGCACAACCTGCATTTCGCAATTCTACGACGACTAGGTTCGTATCGTACATGAGGAGACAGACCACTTCAATATTTGGGCACGTCGTCGCACGGAGCTTGGCAGCTTCTACGGCAACCTCACGAGCCCATGAAGATCTCTGGGATGCAGCGTATGAAGCTCGTGAGAGTATATTCCGGCAAGGTAGACTCATATGCGTCGTGAAGGACAAGTGATGCCAAAAGCCTGTGGGTTAAGTAATGAATCGCTTACCAAAACGAAAAAATGTATGTATTGTTTTGCCTACAAGCTGTCACTTTACATTGTTTTAGACCTCATTCGAAGGTTCACAACCTTTTTACATCTGTGGAGTCGACATTTCCAGCATCATACCACACGTTCCGTCACCAGACGAGCTACGAGCGAGACGCATGTATCCATCTTCACCCCAGTTTGTTCCCCAGGAGTTGCGAATTTTAATCGACGAAGAATCATAGCCAACCGCAACAACTGCGTGGTCGAGCCGCGTGGTACTACACGATGACACCAATCCACCCGTGTACTGCTTCCAAACGACATTTCCCGCAGCGACCGCCACGACGACCGGATGCTCGTCGATTGCGCTCAGCAACTCAGCCTCACCAGATAGCTGCGAGTACCCTGTGATGCCAGTATCCTGTGAATTGCAGCTCGAACGGCAAGTATCCTCCACGCCTCGGTTTGACGTGTACGGATAGCTGTCTTCAGTGCAAAGGCCATTTTGCAGCATGAAATCGAACGCATACACGGGAATACCTCCGTCGCAACCCCAGTTTCGAGTATCACAGCTAACCAACTGCTGCACTGAGTATTTGGTGAGAGACGAGTTTCCGTTCGCAATGCACTGCGCAGATTCGACGGCTGATACCGTAGCAAATGCCCAGCAGGAACCACATGATCCTTGATTCTGAATCGGGGCCATGCACTCAGACGTAGACCAGTCCACCGAAGTAGAGCTTCTCTCTGTCGTCTCTGGCAAAGACGATGCCTCGGTGACTGGTGTGTTTGCAGTCAGGGTGGATGTTAATCTGGGTTGAAGCCAATTCCATAAATCCGAGAACTTGTAGCTGGTCAAATTTGCGTCGATGAAATTGTTGCTCACGGATTGACCTGTGCCCATACTCAATTTATTGATCAAGGTGTCGACGAAGGAGCCGAGAGACTTGACAAACGAAACGCTGTCGGAGCTATTGTCGCTGAGATCGGTGATCGATTCCGAGCCGGTGGCAGTGGCAGTGGGTTGATACTTGGTCGTTCCTTTGTCACTCTTCGTTGAGTTGCGTCCGATGAACGAGTTCAACACATATGTGTCGAACTCTGTATCAGTCAAAGCTGAGAATGGCGTCATGATGGAGAAATTTGCGTTTGGATTGGCGGCCTGCCGGGCGGAAATGCTCTGCTTGGTCAAGAAAATGCGTTGGCGAAGATCTTCTTCTTGATCATCCGCGCTGCGATCTTTCGAAACTGGCCACCATCCATTCTTCTGCGCAGTGTCGCCGTAATTTTTCCTCCACTCATCCAAATCGGCTTGTGTGGTGTCGATCGCTTTGAGGTATTGCTGATAATTAATACCAGCGTGCAGTGGTTTTTGAGCAAAAGCAGGCATCGACGAGGTCATCGCCACGGCGGCTGCAATCGCGCAGCAATAGGTTAAAGTGTGCATTGTTATGCGGTGGGGTTGGTCGGGCGATAGTGTGTGGCTGTGTGAGTTCCTTTACGAGTACCTGGAGAGCTGCAAGTGGGGATGTTATAACTGCTACTGTTAAACTTGGTGATATGCAAGTCAATTCAGGAATGTACATCTGGACAACCATCTTTTTTGCGGCTTTGCTTGCAGTCCATACCAAGCACGGCCTACCGACTTGTAAAATTATTTT